CCCCCCCCGGGCCCCCCTCGGGCTGCGGGCCCCGACGGAGCGGCCGCCCCACCGGCTCCGTCTTGCCGGCCGCGCTCCGCTATTAGTTAATTATTGATTGATTACAAGTGAAAATTTATGGCCCGCTCCCCGCGCTTTGCTTTCCCCGGGCCTGGTACACGGCGCGCTCCGGCCCCCTCGCACGCACCCCCGCGCCTGCCCTCTGCAAACACTTCGGAGGGAGGGCGGGAGGCGTGTTGTTGTTTTTGGCCTTGACAGCTTCCAGCAATATGAAATATTTAAGCCCTTCGGTCGATCTTCCGTACCCTGGCCGCCCTTTTTTTTTTCCTTTCATGTCCTGGCTGTGGGGCTCCTACGGCGGACAGGCCCCCTCCCCCCAGCCACCCGTCGAGCCGGCTCTGACCCAATAAAACTAAAGAAAGCATATTCTTTACCATCACCATGAAGCCTAATGTTAAAAAAAAAAAAAAAAAAAAGAAAAAAAAAAAAAAAGAAAAGTTTCACCCTTTAACGATTGTTCCTAAAAGTCTTGGAAGCGGGGACCATCCTGCCTCCTCTCTCGCCCTGGGCTGCAGGAAAGCGCTTTGGGAAAGGCAGGGAGAGGGGAGGAAAAACAATTAGACGGGTTTCTTGAAGTTTGAGTTGCGTGTACAGGGGAGCCCCGGTCTGCTCTCTGCACGGTCCCGAGACGAGCCCCGGCCCTACTGCGCTCTCCGGGACGGGGCATTTTGAGGAGCTGCTATTGAGGACCCCAGCACCGAAGTGACTCCAGAGCCTCCCCCAGACTCCTTCGCACACAACAACACGAATATTGCCTGCCAGAGAGTGCAGCTCTTGAGTTGGGCGATTGATTGGTTGATTGATTGGGCTCTGTCTCGGGAAGGCGAATGCCCTGATGGGGAAGTTGCCTCGCAGCGCTCACACGTTGCGCCCCGCAGCAATCGGCCCTGCTTCGGCCCCTGCCCGGCGCCGCCGGGGCCAGAGGAGCCTGCGGAGGAGCCGGCGGGGCCGGCGGGGTGCTCGTCCTGCAGCACCTCGGCGCCTTGCAGCCCCCATCTCCCCCCCCGGGGGCACCCGGAGCCCTGAGCCCCGCGCACAGACACACAGACGCACACCCACCCCACGAAGGCAAACAGACATGAAAAGGGACATTCCAGCTCGTGTAGCTGGAGGATCGCATCGCTTTATCTCCCTGACCCGCCGACCTCTCCCTGCAGCCAGACCCTTTTTACATCTCTCGAGCTTTTAAAGAGCGGCGGGTTACACCTGAAGCCTTTTGACTCCAGGGAGAACCAACAAGCTCAGAGGGAGCCAGCTCGGAGACATGATGCATGGGGTGGCTTGGGATTTTTTTTTTTTTTTAGCCAGCCCCAACTCTCCACGTGCTTCTCACAACCCCCGCATTATTCGGGAACAATTAAGGCGTGTAAAAACAAGGCGAGGCGAAGCCCTTAGCTTAAAGTGGCCGTTTAAGGCGCTCTTGTCGCTCCAGCTCCTCGCCCCAGTGTCGCAGCAGGTCCCCGCCGCCCGTGCCAGCAGGATAGGGACAAGGGGTGCGGGGACAGGGGCAACAGAGGGAAGGCACGAAGGCAGTAATCTCTTTTGCCCTGGACTCAAGCTCCGATTGCGGCATTTGCCTCCGTGGTGCTGCGGGCTCTGAGCTCTGCCCAAGCTTCCGAGGTCTCCGATTGCCTTTGCTCCTCCGCGGCCGCCGTGCAGGCTCGCACCTTCGTCCTTCCCTTTCCATCTCCCTTCTTTTTCTTTTATCTTTTTCCTTCTTTCTTTATTTTTTTTTTGTTAATTTGATAATTCAGTGAAAAAAATACCTTTAATGCCCTTAGCAAACCAACCAAACAAAACCCCCACGATCTCGGCCTCTAGCGCTGCCAACCGTGACCGCAATTCCCCCAGCGTTTCAGGTTGTTCTCGCCGTTGTCAGCATTCCCCCTCCCCACCCTTGCCATGCATCCCACCACCTTTCTAGCGAAGGACCCTTTCCTCCATGCCACGAAAAAAAAAATACAACAGCACAAAACAACAAGAACAACAACAAAAACAAGCTCTGGTCGCAGTCAAGAGCGACCCTGCCGAGCCCGCCGGCACCAAGAGCCCGTCCGCCTGCTCCCCCGCCACCGGGCGCACCCACTGCTTCTCTCCCCATCCTCTCCCTCTCTCTTCTATTTTTTTTCTATTTCCCTCTATTGCTCTTTTTTTTCTTATTTTCTTTTTTCTTTCTTTCTTTCTTTTTTTTTTCCTGATGAAGCTTGATTTCTTTGCAAGCTGCCAAAGCATCACTGCCAAAATAAAGTTTGCAGGCAAATGAGCCCCACCGCTCCCCACGAAATAGTCCGGCGCGGTCCCGGACGGGAGAAAACGCCGCTCGGTGAAACGCGGAGCCTTCGTGGGGGCCGCGGAGGAGGCGGCCGGCGCCGGCGGGTCCCGTCTCCACCAGCGACCGCGAGGAAGGAGGTTCGGCTCGGTTTAATTCAGTTCGGTTCAGTTCAGCTGGCTCCACAGACCCCAGATGAGGACAGACTCAGCTCCCCTGCCCGGACCGGGCTCCTCCCGCATCTCCCCCGCGCTCTCCCTGCGCCGGCGACTACTTTCCTTGGGAAATTTGGCATCGCGATTACTTCTGGCAGGATATCTTCCTTTCCGTCGTGCAACTTTTCCTATACTCTCTGGCACTTTTGAACATTTTCTTATTATTATTTTTAGCCTCTGCTTTGTTCCCCTTGTTGTGAGTGTGGGGCCTTCCGCGTGAATTTGCGGGGCGCTTTTTCAAACCCGTCTCCTCTCCGAGTCCTATTTCAGCCGCTTTCCATTTCTCCCGAGTCTGAGATGAAAACGAAGGGAAAAATCCCCTAAACCTGAAGCGCAAATGGAATATCGGTCAGGAGGTTCCCCCGCTCCTCTATCAAGAGCGGGTGGGGGCAGGGGATACCCCTAGGAAAAGTGAAAAGCTTGTTTTAATGGGCGGTCATTGCTAAATCTCACCTTAGGGCCAAAACGACTCGCGACCCATTGCCCTCCTTACGATGTATTTATTTGTCTCAGTGGCACCAGCCGTCAGTCATTAGGGGCGGGGGGTTAACCCGGGGGCCGACCGACGAGGATGGGGGGGGTGCCTGGCCGCGGAGCTCCTTGGTTTGTTTTAAATATGGTTTTTTTTTTAATTTTTTTTTATTATTTTTTTTACCCGCAGGAATCTGTCCAGAGGCGAAGGAATAACCGGTCCCGGGAGCGCTTCGGGGTGAAACCGCGGGATACGCATGGGATGCCCGCGAAGAACGACCCCCCGCCCCGCCACGAAAACGCCGGTTGCGGTGGGACAGGAGGGAGGATTTGGGTTTCTGAGGGGTTCGCTCGCAGCAAAAGTGGCAGCTCCGTTGGCAGAGATTTTGTTTAAAGACGGGGATTTCTTTCCTCCTTTTCTGAACAAACACATTTCGAGGAGGAAAAAAAATAAAATAAAGAGGAAAAAAGAGAAAAAGGAGAAGCCAAACCGCAAAAGCGACAGCAAAACCCACCGGGATAGCTCGGCACTCTCCTCGCAGCTGAGCGTGCTGGAAAGGACTCGTGTGTTCATGGGCAAACCACGTCCACGGGGATCACTGATAAGCGCCCTCCCGCGCGGCGTGTTTATTCGCCCGCGTTTCTGCGATCAGACACCAAACATGTACATAGCTCCAGAGCAGGGTCACAGCTATATATTATTTTATTATTACTTTATTTACATACAGATGCATACGTCCCGCGCGTGCAGCGCTAAATAACTTCATGCATTTCAAATATTTATACAGTTCAAATATTTATGCAGTGCAAATATATATGCGTGTGGCCGCAGAAAGAGCGGCTGGATGTAGAGGAGATCGGCTGCGCCTTCAATTCCCTCTGCACAAAACGCGCCTTCTCTCACCGCGGATCCAAGCCCCGTCCCACGGCGCCCTGCTCCACGCGGGCTGTCCCTGCTCCACGCGGGCTGTGTCACTTCTGTTCCCGCGCGGCCACTTGCTCCAGCCGGGCCCGGGAGGCTCCGTCTGGCCGGGATTTCTTTTTTTTGCTATCTCGTGTCTCGGTCCAGATGCTATTATCTTGGCTGCCCACAGGGAATTTCAGCTGTGGTGCCCGTTGCAAACAGGCAAGATAAACTCGTCGCCCATTCCCGTCCCCATCCGCATCCCCAGAGCCCTGGCCGTGGGGTGACCCGCGTGGGCATCCTGCCCGTGTCAACACCCCTCGCGCGGCCGCGCTCTGCCTGATGCCTCTTGCCAAGCGTTTACCCAGGCGAAGAGAGATAAAACGTAAATGCAGTGTGTTCCCCTCCCCCCCACCTAGTGCCCAGCATCCCGAAGCTCCAGGTTTCTGCCGCGAGGAGGAGGATGGAGCGACGCGGGAGGCGGCTGCCCTGGCGCCTGGCGGCGGCTCCCGGCGCGACGCTGCGTTCCCGCATCCCGGAACACCGGGATCCCCCGGGAGCGGCGGCACCAGAGGGAGGCGGGGAAGGTGCCTGTGTCCCTGCTCCGCGGCCCTGCGCGGTGCGGAGCGGGGCAGCGCGGCTCCCGCGGCCGGTGCCGTGCGGGTTCCCGGGGCCGGTGTCGCGGTCGCTCCGCCGCTCCTGCAGTGCCACCTGGTGGGGGTAGCCCGGCGGCGCGGGCCCCGCTGCTGACCCGGGAAAGGGGCCCCGAGGCCCGCAGAGCGGGGGGAGACGGCGGGAAGACTCGGCTGGAGGGACACGGGTGACCCCAGGGGCCTGGACCGGAGAAATACTGGGCACGTGGGTGACAGAGTCGGGAAGGGATGTTTGCTCAGCGCCCGGGAAGGAAAAGCCTGTTCTGCAAATCCCATGTGCTCACCTCCCTCCTGTTCTCTTATGACAAGGAGTGGGTCACTGAGCAGAATCCCAAAACAAGGAGCTCAGTAAACTGCTGTGCAATCCCCAAACTCCCCTTCCTTGTCCCAGACCCTTTACGCAAAATGCATCTGGCCTGGCAGTTTTGCAGGAAACCTCCCCTATTTTTCCAGGTGGGGAACGCTGCACGCTGAGAGCAGGCAGAGCCCCCAAGGCTGCTTGATTCTCTCCCCTTCGTGGCACCCTCAGGCTGGTTTGTAGGGCACAAGGCCTTCTGTACCCACCTCCTTGCATTTCTGTCGCCCTCCCTCACATATCCTTGTCCACATGTGCTGCGCTATTGGGCGTCCATGTTTCTTTTCACCTTCTAGTCCAGTCTCACCTCTTGCTCATTCATACACACATGCCCATGCAAAATCTGCTTGCATTTGTTGCTTCATAGTTTTATTCCTATTATTTCTGTTTCTCCCTCATTTTCTTTCACCTGTTCGACTGTTCTTCATAAGTAGCTCCTCTGATTATAGACACATTTCTGTTTTCTGCCTCTCCCCTCATTACAGAGCCATTCTATGCAAGAAACTGCCATTTCGCCATAAACTGCCATTTTTGCTCTGGTGCAACTGGGGGCACTAAAATGTGAAAATAAAGCTGTAAAAGCAGGAAGATACACATCAAACTTCAGGATGAACAACAGCAACAGTATTTATGGTGTTTTAATGTGCAGCCGCTGCATAACAGGGAAGAAAGGCTTTTGCCCGGGCAAAAAGACACTCATCCCTCTTAAGACTCCAGCAACAAGCGCATGTGCTGCAGTGAAATGGCTGGACCGGTGTGGAAGGACTCTTCTCCTTTAGGGAAGCAACTTTCCGAGTCCAGCAGAGCTCCCGAATCAGCTGCTGTCCTACTTTCTGACTGCCCCTGATTAGGCAGGAGAAATGCCCATTGTCCCTCCCCGCACTCTCATTAGGGCCCCCGAATTGTGTACGTGCACGTAGGCACCGGCACCGCTTTGCAGCCCTTGACATGCAACTTTTCCACCATTCTCCTTCCTCGGGTCAGGCTCCCACTTTGCTGCAGCTCAAAAGGCTTAGGAAGGAGCCAATCCCTTGGAGTCTCCCATTAATTCCCTCGGGAGAGGGAGTGAGCATCCTGTGGATACTTAGCAAAGTGGTGTGGCCCGGGCTCAGGGTAGGGGGGAAATTGTAGTTTGGAGACCAGCACTTTGGCTGGGAGAAGACAAATTAGCTTGGGATGTATCAAAGCAACCACACTTAATTCCTTGTGTGTTGGGTTTTTGATCCAACTGGACAGGGGTTAGGTAATCTGGAAAACTGCTACTCCTTCCTTGCTTTAATGAGTTATCGTGAGTCCAAAGCACTTCATTTTCAGGCAGAATGGTGTCATATACATTAAAAGTGTCAGAAAATGTAGAGGCACAGCTGCTCCTTCCACTTAGGAAGCTGCGGTCTGTTCGGATAACAGATCTTCTGTTCGGCTCCTTAGAGGGCAACTTGGCATCTCCAGATTTTCACGAGGAGGAGGCCCTCTGATTTATCATTACTTTATTGAATTATAACCCTGTTTTACGAGTAATTCATTACTTGCTGCTTTCTTTTTGAATCAAATCGCTCTAATGCAATCAAGGGCTCTCTGAGCGCGTGGAGCTTTGCCTTTGAGAAAAACCTCTGCCAGCTTTTCCAGTGTTAGCAGGAGCAGCTGGCAGAGCCGGATCCGGTTCTGGGACCCTTTGGCACCATCCCCTAGGATGGGATCACACCCTGGTACCCCAGCTCTGCTGATGGATGGAGGGTGATGTTTCCTAACATGATTTTGTGGCTCTGGAGGCTTGGTCCCTCCAGCTGGCCTTGGGGGTTCAGCCCTTGGCCGGCTCCCCCATGCCGTGATGAGTTGTGAGATAAATGACACCTACTTAGGGGCCAAATTCTGCTCCTCACAGGGTGGGCAAGAGGGAGCGAGGTGCCTGCGATGCTCCATCAGTTTGAACAGTGGGGACTTTCGAGGAGGTTGCCCTTGATTCCTACCACTAATTTGATCACCCTTCCCCACGTCCCCTGTCTTGAGTGGGACCTAATGTGTCTCCAGTTATGGGTCTGCACAAAGCTCTGCCTCAGGGCCCTGCGTTACAATGTTTGCACCTGCTGGAAGCCTGGTTCTGCCTTTGTAGAGCCCCACTAGCCCTCAGCCTACAGACCCTGGGCTTTGTATCTGTGCCAGCAGGAGTAAATGCAAAGTGATTGATAGAGGGAAAATTAGGGTGTAAATTGGCTGCAAGGTGTAAGAGGGACCTGGGTCTTTATAAGCTTGGCTCAGGGCAGGCAATGGTCTTTTCTGGAGGCTGTGGAGTTACTGGACCTGCAAAGCTGGGAATGATCCTAAGAGGACCTGCAGCAACAGGGATTGAGGTACTCTGGATGTGCTTTAGAGGTAAGTGGGGCTGTGGGAAGAAATGGGGAGTTGCTGGTGGTGTAATCAAGGTAATTGCTTTTGTGTGGTGGCTTGGCTCCCCTTGGGGGCCTGTTTTTCCCCTCCTCTCCTGGAGGGAGCCCTGCAGTGCTGGCTGTGCCTATCTTATGGCTTAGAGAGCTCTACTGATTGGCACTTTGGGCTTCCCCTGCTGTGGGGACTGCTCTACAGAGGAGAGAAGTAATGAATATGGTTTACTTAGAACCGAAAGGAGGAGAAAGCTGCTCTATGTGGCTAAAGAAGAAAGCCCAGGGGAGGCTGGGGGCTGGTCTGCAGTTCAGTGGTGCTCTTGGCCTGGTAGGGCTTCCTTGTGGTGCTGCTTTGTGTTTCTCTTTCTCCTCCTTGGGTTCTGGCTCGGTTATCTTTCTTCATTGGCCAATGTTGTCTCCACTGACTGGCCTCTGTCTTAGAGCTGTGAGGGCCCTTCAAATGAGATGCTGGAGAACGGAGGAGAATCCAGGTCTCCAGGCTGGCAGCTCTAGTGGCTGTGTAGACCTCTAGATGTTTCTCTTCCTTTTGAGACTCTTCAAGTCATGTGTTGCCTTATCTGTGGGACTCAATTTAGGTCTAAGCACATCCAACTTGTAGCTTTTGGTTCCTGAGTGTTGGTGTATCCTTGCAGAGAACTTCTGGTCATTATGTTGTGCACCTGAAAGTTGATGTGAAATGACATGGGATCCTGTGACATCAGTCTCTTGTGCTCCTTGATGTCTTTTTGGAACATGCTGGTGAGAGAACAAAGGAAGAGACTTGTGTCTGGATAAGGTTTTGAAACTCAGGGATGAGTGTGGTAAAGATTCTGCTCAAGAAGAGCTAGGAGTGTAGCCAGAAGGGAAGGAACTTGTTAAACAAGCGACACACTCCCTCTGGCTGGCCTGGCAGCCCGTTGTGATGTTGGATTCTGCATTCATCTGCCAGCCTGGCTGGTCTGCCCAACACCTGCTTTCTTATATGCAAGGGAAGAACTTTCCAAAACTACATGTGGTGTTCCTTATTTTTATGGATCTCAGTCATGTAAGGTGTGTAACTTTCCATTCCAGGCAAGGCAAAGCCTGGGAAATCTGGGACTATGCTGATAAGGATATCTCTGCATGTTCTCTGGGGCAAGTACTCAGTGACTGACATGCAGGAATACGGTAGCAGTTGTGATTGGTGTTTGGGGGCATTTGCTTAACATGATGGTCTTGTTCTGTCTGGAATGGAGTAGAAATAATTACTATTTCCATGAAGCTATTCCCAAGAGTTCTCATTAGACAAAGTCTTCCCAATCTGTGATCTGTCAGCCCTAAAGCAGCTTGGTGACCCATCTATATACTCAATGTAGCACAAAGTTTGCCTGGAAGAGTAGGGAGGAAAGATACCATGGATTCACTTTACTTTTTGGTGCCTTTCATTTTAATACTAGCTGTTTCCCCAATGCAACTTGCTATTTTGGTTGGAGATCCTTCTACTTTACCCCTTGATGAGCAGCTTTCCATGTGCTTGGCTAGGGAAGGCAGTTAACCCTTCCATTCAGGAAGGGTTAGTTGCAAAATAGGAACTGGGGGCTTGTGCTAGATGAAGCTGTGCCTGAGCACTGACATGGTTTAAGGTCTCCAAAGCAGGACTGAAACATGAACAGCTCAGTCATGATTCTCACTATGCTGATGTGATTTGGTGATGTGCTTGGCGATCTTGATTTCTTACCTGTCTGATTCTAATTGCAGCTTGCTCAATATCTTGCAGGACTGAGCTGGGCAGTGTTCTGGCTTAGCAGAGCAGGGGAAAATATTTGAAAGTTCTCATAGTTACCAAATGAGACTCTGGGTATAAAGACCTGCTGATATGTACTTCCTTGAAGAAATATCTTGTTCCTGCAGTACTGCTAAAGTTGTTCTATTTTCTGAAGTTACCAGGTGTTTGTTTAGAAACTTATCTGCTCTAGTATTTTTGTTATGGTGGGAAGAGATACCCTCCTCCTAATAGGTTCAAAATATCCATTAATACAAATTATTTATTGACTTCAGAGGCTTCTAGGATGGTGGAGGTTCTTGTACATGAAGTTGAGTGGAAATGAAATGATCTGAAGCCAAGTTTATGAAGGGTGTTTTAAAGGACTTGTGGGAAAGGTTCTCCTCTTCTAGCACTGTAAAGAATTAGTGGTGCATGCATGAAAAATGCCAGCACCTTTGATCAAAAAAATTAAGCAGTCAAAAGCATGAGACAGTGAGCCAAATAAGGGATTCTATGACCTAGTTAAGTTTTTTTTGTTTTGTTTTTGCTCTGTTCCCATAATACAAAACTTTGGCTTCTGAACTTCTTCTCTGACCAGTGTTGCTTGGTATAGAACAGGC